CACCTTCCAAGTGCTAGGATCATAGCCTTGTACCACCATATATACTTATAGAAGGGGATTTTGATGTGAAAAATGATCATTGTTTTCAAATTTTGAGACCTTGATGATGAAGACTATGAGTCAGATAAGATACATTAAAGAAACTGAGACCTTTGTCTAGAACAGAGGTGTCACAGTGGCTGTTTTTAAACATTGTCAAAGTTAGGGCCAGGATCAGAGCAGGAAGTTCACAGGGAGATGGATTTGGCCGATACAAGGAGAACATTTCCAATACAGCACTTGATTTAAACTGATTGGGTTGCTTTGCCAAGGGAAGAAGTTTCCGGGAGCTCTGGGCACCTTGGCCCTGTGGAATAATCTAGATTAGAATAATCCTCCAGGAGAAACTTCTGTATGAGAGCTGAGGGTAGCAGTCACCACCCATCTCATTACAATTCTTTGGCTTCTATATTGTCAAGATTGTGAGAGAAATCAAGAGCATCGATATCAGAACGTCATGGAAAGTTTTGGGTGTGAAGTACCCATTGGGGAAAGAAAAATTGCCTCATCTTGACAAGGTGCAACAAAACCCTCATTTGCATTAAAACCAACAGAGAGACTAGAACAAAACAAAACAAAGCAAAAAACCCAACTTTCCTCATTTCCTCTCTCCCTCTCTCCCTCTCATCTCCCTCCCTCCCTCCCTCCCTCCCTCCCTCCCTCTCTTCCTTCCTTCCTTCCTTTCTTCTTATGACAGGGTTGTGTATCCCAGCTGGCCTTGGGGTCATCATGGCAGGTTCTATACGGTGCTAAGGATGGAACCCAGGATTGCACACATGTTGTGAAATCACAAAGCCATACTCCAACTCCTAAGGGTGAAGTTCCCAACCCATGACCTTTGCGGGTCACTTAAACCTGAGCACTGCCCAGCTCCACTCTGCCACTAAGGAGAAAGCTGGAGCCAAGCGGCACACCTCCTGTGGCAGTTTTGCTATGAGCTCCCCATGCCTCCTCATTGGAAAAACCACACCAGATCCTACTCTCTGTCTACCTGCCCAAGCGCGGAACATGTGGCAATTCTAGGACGCCCATTCCTATGCTGTTCAACTGCTATCTTTTTTTTTTTTAATAAGGTGATTGGGCCTGGAGATGGCTCAGCAGTTGGGAGCGCGCAGCTGTTGCTGCGCCTGAGGAAGGACACAAGTTTGATTCCCAGCACCTACCTGGTGGCTGTCGCTCAGGGGATTGAGTATCTCTGACTTCTTCAGCACCTCACTCAACTGCACACACCTGCACATGGACAACCACACATACATCATAGAGAAAAAAATCTAAACAATTTGAAAGGGTGGCTGCTGCACTACCTCAGCATTTCCTTTCTTCTCCAGCGTTTCAGGTAAGGCTTGAAGTTACAGATGAGTACATTCCTTTTAGAAGGTTTTGATCCCCCCTCCCCCCCTGTTATCCAATGTTACCTTTGACTTAGAGATAATAATTTAAAGTGATTTCTTATTTGTGACATTTTGTTACTGTGGGAGTTGGCTTGGGCAACATCGCTTGAAGCACATTTCAGGTGAGTTTTGTCCTTCTCTTTGTCTCCTCTTGTCTGACCTACCTGCTGATTCCATGAGGTCACCAGGCAAGTTCGGCCTTGTTCCTTAGAGCCTGGCGTCCTTAGCACTCTTTCCAGCTGGCTGCCAGGCACCTGGCCTGTAACCTCCGTGAAGACAGATGACATTTCAAGCATTCTCATCCTTTTTGTCCATCGCCCCTTAAGATCACAAAGACGAGAACAGCTCTGTGAATCTCTGAATTAGAAGTTGGCATTAGGTAAAAATCCAGTTGCTGCTAGCCATGGTGGCTCTTCCTCCTGGCCAAGTTCACAAGGAGGGAGTGCCACTTTTTAAAAAGTCACTGGAGAGCTGAACCGCAGAGTTCTCATACAAACCCTTTCCTGCTGTGAAGCACAAACATCATTTTTGGACAGGGAATAATGTGCAAACTCTAAGTTCTTAATGTCTTATTCAGTCCTCTAAATAAATTTCATGATCCAATGGGATTCAGTAGCTTATTATTAAGAATGTCGCACACCCTAAGGGGCGGGTTCTGTTGCAATGCTATACCTTGGTGCACACAGCTGGACTTTTCCTTCCGCAAACAATCCTTTCATACTAACGCATCACGGTAACACTGGCCAAGGGAGCAGGGCTCTCACTCCAGGGAGTTTTCTGAGTAGATTCATAGTTTGCTTTGATAGAAGGGTTGAAGGGTACTGGAGGCCTTGGGTCATATCAGTTGTAAATGTAGGACTACGTAGTTAGGACCCACAGCTGGAAAACCAGCTCTGGGAAGACTCCTGGTCAATGGCTGACTTGGGGTGGCTGGATGGTGCTGCACAGGACAGACTTCCACTTCTGGAAACATCAAGGCCTCATCATTTGGGTCATGTTTCTACTTTGGTCACTCTTAACCTTTGAGTAGAACTCTCCTGAGTTTTCTTTACTGTATGGAGGTAATGAGAAAAGCCTTGGCCTCTTACAAGGCCACACTTTCTTTTCACGCTCTGATCTTACCCTTGAGTTGTCTCTCTTGGTTCTGTGGTGGGTGACTGAACAAGTTATAGGTACCTGAGTGTTTCTATTTTTAAGCACAGAAAACCGATTTATTCAAGAAAAATGAAGAACTCCCAAGAGTAGGAGGGACGCCAAGAGAGGAATTCACTGAAATTCATTTTTAAATAGATTGATTTTTATTGTATTTTAATGATGTACATATGTGTATAGGTGCCTGTATATGAGTGTAAGATGCCTATGGAGGACAAAGGCATCAGAGCCTCTGGAGTTGGAGTTACAGGTGGTTGTGAGCCACCCAATGTGGGTGCTGGAAAATGAACTCAGTTCTCTATAAGAATAGTACAAAGCCGGGCGGTGGTGGCACACGCCTTTAATCCCAGCACTCAGGAGGCAGAGCCAGGCTGATCTCTGTGAGTTGGAGGCCAGCCTGGACTACCAAGTGAGTTCTAGGAAAGGCTCAAAGCTACACAGAGAAACTGTCTCAAAAAACAAACAAACAAACAAACAAACAAAAGAATAGTACACGCTCTTAACATCTGAGCTATCTCTCCAGTCATGATATTCATTTTTAATGTTTTCTTCAATATGCTTAGATTATGAAATCCTACATTTTCAGTTGTTTTTGATGATTAAGGTTGACAGTCTGTAATTCTTATTGGTTTTATGTTTGAAGTTATAGGCTTTGTGAACCAAGTTCAGGTTCATTTGTGTGTGGATGTGTGGATACAAGGTCTCCTCTTTGGCCTGGAGATGACTGATTAGTCTAGACTGGCTGGTCAGGGCAGGTCAAGGATCCATCCACCTGTCTCTGCCTCCCTCGTGCTAGAATTACAAGTGCGCACACCATGCCTGGCTTTTAAAAATATGAATTCTAGGAACTGTACTCAGCTTACTTTACCAGCTGAGCTGTGGCTCCATCCCAGGCTCATTGCTGGATAATTTTAAATTTGGTTCTCTGTGTCATGTTTTGTGAATTTTTTTTCCTTCCACGACTGGCTTATGGAGTTGTTCTCCAACTTGTGATGTGGTCAATACGAAATTTCTTTTGTGTGAAGTACTTTCATTAGCCAGTCTGGCTAGATCTTCAGCCTGGTTCTTCCTGGGGCCTGAACCATCCAACCAGAACTCTGGTTTTTATCACCAAGACAGAGTTCTGAGCCTTTAGAGATGCCTTGCAAATGAAGGAAGGGGCCACGACCACCTGTGAGGTAAAGGTCTCCAGTGTGGACAGTGGGGGAAAGAAATACCAGCTCTACCAACTGGTAAGTTTTGGTTAGAGCTCTGGCTATAATTGGCAAAAGAACAAGTTTTAAACATTTCTTCTCTTTGGGGCTTTTAAAGTGTTAAGAAATCAGACCCCCCCCCCCAAAAAAAAAAGAAATCAGATCCTATGTCACAAGTACAACCGTCTTTCTCTATGGTCTTTATTTGGTCATTTCTTAATATCTCAATACACACAATGTGTCATTTCTGTGATGTGTTTGGCAAATACTGTGTAACCAAGTCCTACACCACTCTTTTTTTTTTTTTTGGTTTTTCCAGACAGGGTTTCTCTGTGTAGCTTTGTGTCTCTCCTGGAACTCACTTGGTAGCCCAGGCTGGCCTCGAACTCACAGAGATCCACCTGGCTCTGCCTCCCGAGTGCTGGGATTAAAGGCGTACTCCACCACCGCCCGGCTTTTTTTTTTTTTTTTTTTTTTTTGAGATAGGGTCTCATGTAGCTCAGGCTAGCCTCAAACCTGCTGTGTAGCTGGGGATGACATTGTGTTCCTGACTTTCCTGCCTCTGCTTCCCAAGTGCTGGAATTTATAGGTGTGTGCCACCATAGAGGGCTGAAGTTCTTTACCATGAACACCCTTTAGTACCTGCTGTCTTAATGTTTGGTTTTCCTCTCGCTGACAATGTCAACTTTGTACTGTTGTTCAGACAGGGTCTCAGTCTGTAGCCTTGGCTAGTCTGGAATTCAATGTGTCACCTGGAACTTGTGTCATTTCCGCCATTTCAGCCTCCTGAGTGCTGAGATCACAGGTGTGAACAGCCACGACCAGCTGTGACCTTATTTAAGGACTTGGCATATCTTTTTCTAAACATATGGAACACGTGTTCAGGGATTGACACAAAGAAATAGGCATTGATGAATTATACGGTGATCATTTTCATAATTTAATCCTTGTCTGTTGGCTCCAGTGTTAGGGACATTGAGGTTTACTTCTGGCTGTGGTGCCATTCTTGTCTTGTGATGTTAAAAACCCACATGCTAACTGGCTGATGTCTTCACTTAGGAAGGAAGTCATCAATAGTGAATAATTAATTCATTATAAATAATAAATAATGACTTAAGGTTAATAACACAACAATGAGCTGTCAATCACAACTCCATCCCTGGGTAAAATATTAAATTTCTTAGGAACATAAATATCCAGGAATGACTTTGTTAGTTTGCAGAAGTAAGTTTATTGAAATGCAGAGTCAGCCAGAGCTGATTTCTCCCTTCTACTTTTTAAAGAATGTTCTAATAAGGAAATAAGAGGATGCAGGAAATGGGCTGGTCAGCTAATTCTGGACAGCAGGTTTTCTCGGGAGTGAGTCCGCACGATGGTCAGGCTGGTGTGGTTCTTCACTGGCTCCCCCGCTCCATTGTTTCCTTTGACAGATGCGTCTGCTGATCTGGAAACTGCTTATTTTATTCTTACTTCTGAAATGTTGCTGACTTGGGAGGAGACAACTTTGCCATCTACCACTTCCTCTATGATGGTCTTCGTCACTCTTGTCTTGCTGGGATCTGAAAATCACGGGACCAAGAGGTCAGTCTGAAAATGTCGATGAGGCCCAGAGAAAGGAGAAAGTCTGTGCTTGCTGACTGTGTTCTCTGCTTAAGATACTGTCAGCAGCTGTGTACATTTTAACATTTATTTTTAAAGTGCGTGTGTGTGTGTGTGTGTGTGTGTGTGTGTGTGTGTGTGTGTGTGTAGGTAGGTAACATGCATTTATGTGTGTGCATGTGGAAGTCAGAGGACAACATCGGCTACGGTTTCCCAGGCAACATCCACCTCCTTTTTTTGGAGTCAGGGTCTCTCACTAGCCTGGAACTTGCCAAATGATCTGGCCAGTCAGAAAGCTCCAGCAATCTACCTGCCTTTACCCTTCCCCAGCCTTGGAATTATAAGTCCATAAGTCTGTGACACCATGTCTGGCTGGTTCCTCCCTTGCCCCCCATGGGTTCTGAGGTTGAACTCTGGTCCTTATACTTGGAAGGGAAGAACTTCTGACTGAGCCGTTTCCCCAGCCCAACAGTAAAAAGATACAACATGTAAAACATGCTTTTCATTGTAAAATACTCTTCAGTGACAATCCATTATAAAACACTTTTAGATGGCAACATTGTCGTCAACATTAAGAAAATGTCTACCTTTTCCTTGGCCAGAACAGCTCCCGGATCTCAAGTCACTCAATACCAAATGGCTGGATACTAAGTTTCGATAATCAGATCCCCTGGAGACAAAAAGAAAGAATGGCATTTTCCTTTGTAGTCTGCTAAGGTGGGAAAAGTTCTTCAGCTCCAGAAGGTCCCAGGGTGCAGCTTTGGGTGTATCTGTTGTTACCTTACTACCTTATAAGTCCATGCCCGACCCCTCCCCCATTCCCTCTTTGATTTCACAAGCCCACCTCCTGCATCTCAGCGGCTTTCACTCACCCTCCCTCTCCACTGAGCAGGCGCCTATAGGTCTCGATCTCCTCCTCCAGGCGTGTCTTGATGTTCAGCAGGCATTCATACTCTGCATTCTGGCATTGTGTCTCACCCCGAATCTGGCCGAGCTGCTCCTCCACATTGCTAATCTGTGTCTGGATGCCAGACAGCTGAGCCATGTAGCCAGCCTCTGTGTCAGCCAGGGTCCCTTCCAGAGAGCATTTCTAAGATAAAGAGAAAAGAAACATTCATGTGGAAAGTAAGTCCGTGGATGATTTGGGAAAACGTCTGAGTTTTGTATGAGTAGTATGCTTTCCTCTGCTATGGGTACAATCTATACTGTCGTTGTCTCTTTAACTTTCCTTGGCACAACTCAGATCAAATCTTTACTGGAAATAGAGTTGTCCTGTGTGTGCATGTGTACATGTGTGTGTGGAGCCAGAGGTTGACATGTGTATCTTCCTCTGTTGCCCTAGACACTTCAAGACAGGGCCTCTCACGGCAACTGTAGTTCACCACTCTGGCTAGATTAGTCAGGGATCCATCTGTTTCCGTGCACCCCACATCCCCAAGTGGGTGCTGGGGGTCTGAACTGTGGTCCTCACGCTTGCACAGCAGATGCTTTCCCTGTAGAGCCATCCCCCAGCCCCAGAGAGCAGCAGCATGCTTGACTCTTTATGCTCTCTAGCAGACAAAACAGTTTTCCTTTTCCTGTGTTTATGGGCTATCGGCCATCTTGGCGAAGAAGGACAACTCCTCTGCTTAACTCTGTTGGAGAGTGAAAAACTAAAAAACAGCTCTTGGGACGTACCAGGGCCAGCTGGGATTGAAGCTCAATTTCCAAGGCTTGCATGGTGCGCCTCAGTTCCGTTATCTCGTTCTTGGCAGAGTTGGCCGCCCCAGCATCTGTAGAGATTTGGGCTTGCAGGGATGCACTCTAAATGGAAATCAAGCACAGTTGTCATAGGCTGCAGCAGCAGAGGTGTTGGCCCGTGAGCAGGGATGCAGATGGAGGTTTTTGGTGCAGCACCATACCCTCTCGTTGAACTGTTTCTCGGCTTCCTGGCGGTTCTGCTCAGCCAGCGCCTCATATTGCGCCCTCATGTCATTCAGTAGTTTGGTCAGGTCAGTTCCTGGGGCAGCATTCATTTCTACTGTCACGTCTCCTCCAGAGCTTCCTTGCGTGCACTTCATTTCCTAGCATAGAGGGATTAAAAAAGGCGCCACAGTGATGTGAGTGCAAGTTGTCACTTTCTAAAGCATGTGTCACTGGAAACATCTGAAACCGTGACAGCCCCGGGGGACTTCAAGATGCAACATGCTCTCTGGCCATTGGATGTGTGGGGAGTTCATTTAGTAAAACCGAGTTTACTTTTGTAGACTAGAGATCATGGAAAATACAGACGGCAGGGCTGCTCATGCATGCAGAACCCATTCCTACCTCCTCATGGTTCTTCCTCAGGAGGACCAGCTCCTCGGTGAGACTCTCAATCTGCATCTCCAAGTCAGACCGAGTCATGGTAAGGTCATCCAGCATTTTCCTCAGGCCGTTGATGTCGGCCTCTACACACTCCCGGAGGTGCATTTCATGCTCATACCTGGAAGGGGTGCAGGAAGGCAGGTAAGGGGACTCATCTCAAAGTACCTCTCTTTCTTCCTTTTTCTTTTCTTTTCTTTCTTTCTTTCTTTTTTTTTTTTTTTTTGAGACAGGGTTTCTCTGTGTAGTTTTGTTGCCTGTCCTAAATCTCGCTCTGTAGACCAGGCTAGCCTCAAACTCACAGAGATCCGCCTGGCTCTGCCTCCCGAGTGCTGGGATTAAAGGTGTGTGCCACCACCACCCAGCCTCTATGTTTTTTTAAATTTATTTTTACTCTATGTTCACTGGTGTTTTGCCTGCATGTATGTCTGTGTGAGGGTGTCAGAAGCCCTGGAACTGTAGTTACAGGCAGTTGTTAGCCTCCATGTGGGTACTAGGAATTGAACTCAGGTCCTTTGGAAGAGCAGTCAGTGCTCTTAACCGCTGAGCCATCTCTCCATCCCAGGAGTACCTCTCTTTCACACTCCTGGAAAAAGTTTTGACCTTGAAGCACTGTTTTTCATTTTTCTCTCTGTATGTAACCCTTGGCCTTTGTGGGGGAAGTTCTCTAACTGTTGAACTACATTTCCCACCCCCAACTATTTGATAAATAAAATTGGCTGAGATTTTTTTGATAATTTTTTAAAATCTCATAAAGAAAAATAATTTCTAATATTAATTCTAGCCATGTACAATGTTTTTATAAGAGTTATCAGCCTTAGTTTCCTCTCTCCCCTCCCTAGTTTCTCCCTCCCTCCCACTCTGTCTTGCTTTCTCTTCCCTTCCTTCTCTTCCAACAGTGGTCTCTAAAATTTGCTCCTGTGAGCCATGTGTGGGAGTTCACCATTGTAGCATAGCAGTCTGGAGCTAGAGGCAGGAAGGTGAAGAGTTCAAGGCCAGCGTCAGTTCCATAGTGAGTTTGACTCCAGTCTGGGCTACACAAGCCTCTGTCTAAAAACAAAACAAAACAAAACAACAACCCCCCCCACGCCCCCCCTAACCCCGCCGCCCCAAACCAAACAAATAGCAAAACAATAAAAGAAAACCATCCACGTTCACCCCTGGTCTATTTCTGAGTTTAGGTCGTGATCCTCCAAAGGGCTTTCGCCCTCAACAGTTGGGCTGTGTTTTAGTCCCTATGGTAGGAGTTTTCAAGGATTTGGCGTGTCTTACTTCATCCTGAAGTCATCCGCAGCCAGTCTAGCATTGTCGATCTGCAGAGCCATCCTGGCATTTTCAATGGTGGCTGCAATGATCTAGGAAAGAGGGAAGATTGAATCCTAGCTGATCTTTCTTTTTTGACACCTACCTGTGAGGGCTGACATCTCCTATGTCATAAACTCTTAAAGGGGGGTTGGCCTGTAGACTTACTTAGCCGTGGCACATGTACACTTAGCACCACGGATCTCTGCAACTGGAAACAGCTTCCACAGTTATTAGGGTAGACAAAGGACACTGCTTTATGGAATGCTGTCCTCTGCCTACTTCTACTGCTTGGAAGATCAGTCATTTCCTCACAGACTGAAGGAACTAATGTGAACACATAATTTCACTTAAAAACATACGACTCATACAACTATGGCTGAAATTTTCAGTTTATTATGCAACACTTCACCAGATTCTATAGGAAGAATAGTCCTAACGATGAATCCGGAAAGACACAAAAATGCACAAACCTGTCAGAATGAGTCATGAAGTAATTAGGTCACACTAATTATCCATTGAGTATACCATCATTCTCATATACCTGTCAGTTGGCTATCCATCATTGTATGAATCTGATACTCACATTTGAGATTCAGACAGAATACTGTGGTTGTATGTCATACATTCAGAGAGAATTTAAAGGGCTGCCATAATTAGGATACAGGAGGACCCATTTTGCACACATGACTTAACATTTCATTACTGAGCCCTTGAGATGGCTCAGCAGGTCAGGACACTTGCTGCTATGTCTGAGCTGAGTTTGAGCCCCGGGACTCAACGGCAGGAGCAGAGAACCAGCTCCCATGAGTTGTCCCCTGACTTCCACACCTGTGCCACGGCATGCGTGCATGTCCCCCCTGGCCCGCCCCTGTACACACAGGCGGACACACGTACACACACACAAATAAATGTAAACAGAAATTCATCGTAGTGTACGATCTGAATAAAAGTGAAAGCCAGTCCATAAGCACGCAGCTACGGAGTCCCACCTGGTTCTTCAGATCTTCTATGACTGGCCAGTATCTGCTGTAGTCTCTCCCAGCTTCCCCTTTTCCAGACCCGTGCTTGCCATACCACTCCTTGATTTTCGTCTCCAGGTCAGTGTTGGCCTCCTCCAGGGCTCGCACTTTGTCCAGGTAGCTGGCCAGACGGTCATTGAGGTTCTGCATGGTTTGCTTTTCACTTCCAGAGAGAAGGCCCCCATCACTGCCACTGACACCACCAAGGCCACCTCCCATACTACCTCCATAGCTAGAGAAGCCTCCACTAGAACCCCCACCAAAGCTTGAGGCCCCACCAAAGCCAGAACCCCCACCAAAGCCAGAGCCCCCACCAAAGCCAGAACCCCCACCAAAGCCAGAACCCCCACCAAAGCCAGAGCCCCCACCAAAGCCAGAACCCCCACCAAAGCCAGAGCCCCCACCAAAGCCAGAGCCCCCACTAAATCCAGAACTTCCACCAAAGCCAGAGACTGCTCCAAACCCACCCTTTACTGCGCAGCTACCAAAGCCCCCTCCAATGCCGCTCCCTAAGCCTCCGCCCAGCCCACAGCTGCCACTGCTTCCCTGGAAGCCCCAGGAAGAACCTCCTCCCAGCCCACAGCTGCCTCCACTGCTGAAGGGGCTTCCACCTGAGCACACCCTGCTGCCCGTAGCCCCCGAGGAAGAGGAGACTCGGGAGGAGCAGGAGCCTCTCTGAGCTGAGCAAAACATGCTGCTCCTGCTGGTGCTGAGCTGTCTCTAGAGACTGGGAAAGGTGGAGTAAATGGCCTGTTCTAGTCTGCCCCTTGGCCCTTATATACACACCAGGAGGGTGTTCCTTTTCTCTGTCATTTCCTAATCCTTGTTACAGTTTTGTTAATCCCTAATTGGATACTTTCTTTTCCATGAACCTACTCTACTGGCTCTTTTTATGAGGCTGGGCCAGACATTAGAAAAAATAAGGTGGAGCCCATATCTTTCTTTTCCTTTTCAGAATTACTGTTTTAATCTTTGAGAGGTTTTGATGGCTGGTAATTCCTTCAGAAAATGTAATTCCATTCAATTTGCTTCATGATTTCCCAACGTCAGAGTGTATCCCAGGTTACTGAATGTAATTAAAACCCTCGGTGTGATGAGAGAGAACATTTCTCAACATGTAGCTTTTGCTTGTATTGTTATCAAAGTCAAAATTAGCATTAGCACCAGAACTGATTTTGCATTTAATGAAGCTCTCCCCTCTTTGATTTGGTTATTTCTTTCTTGGTAATTTAAGATGAACTGATGCGTTTTCCTTTTTTTCTTCACAGTTGATAAGAAAAGCTAATCATATATTTCCCTGTGAGTATTGTTGGACACGCTCATTCAGGCAGATACTGACTGAGAATGACCAGACAAGGCTTCAGATTGTTCTAGCATGGGACCATGGTGAGGCCGCAAATGCCTCATCCACGCCTAAGATTCAGCTCTGGTCCTCCTTGCCCCACTTCCCACCTTGAGATAAGGTCTGGTATAGTCTAGATAGCGGAAGAAGCACTTGCCTTTCTGATCCTCCTGCCTCTACCTCCCGAGGTCTGTGATTATAGGCATGTGTCACCACACTTAGTTTTGTCTTGGGCTGGGGACGGAACCTGGGACTTCGTGGTCTCTAGGCAAGCTCACTACCAGATGAGAGATTCCACCAGCTCTCTCTTCTAGTCTTAAAAGCAAGATATCAAGTCTTCAGAAAGGGAGAGGAACTGATGCTTGCTGCTCCCGTCTCTGTTTTGAAGGTCACTGGAAAAGAGGAATCTGAAACCGCTGTTAATATACAAAGGAGCCACTTACACTTGGGGAAATCTGAAGTGTGTTCCAATCTGTCCAGTCTTTGCTTAGGTTTTTCTGTTTTTGTCTAAGGGATATTTAGAAAAGAGGACCTTCATTTCTGATAACTCATGGTATGGTTAGGATCATCATATCATTGGATCTTCAGTTCTGGGACCTTCCCTGTTCCCTTCCTGCTTTGTGTTGTGTTATCCTTCTGTGGTATAGATATTTCCTTTTCTCTTGGCTACTAGTTCCTCTGGTTTAAAAGTGTCACTTTAAACAATAGCAATTCTGGGTGGTGGTGGTACAAGCCTTTAATCCCAGCACTTGGGAGGCAGAGGTAGGTGGATTTCTGTGAGTTCCAGGCAAGCTTGGTCTTTAGAGCGAGTTCCAGGACAGCCAAAGCTAAACAGAGAAACCCTGTCTAGAAAAATCAAAAAGATAACAAACAAACAAAGAGTCTAGCCATGGGGCTGGTGAGATGGCTCAGCAGATAAAGGTGCTTGCTGCCAAGTCTGCCCACCCAAATTTGATACTTGGACCCAAGTGGAAGGAGAGAATTGATTGCTGAAAGTTTTCACCCGACCTTCAGAATTCACTGCAGCGTGTGCACACTGGAGAGCACACACACATACAGAATAAACACGTGTAAATTAAAAAATATGAAAGATCACCAGTGTTTGACTCCACTTGTATTAAGTTCCTGAAGGAGTCAAAGTCATAGACATAGACAGTGGATGGGTGGTGCCAGTGGCTGGGCGTGGTGGGAGGGCATGCCACAGCAGCTGTTGAATTGGTTGAGAGTATGAGCCTTGCAGTGTGGCAAGGCTTCAGTGGGTCAGTTGCACAGACAATGTGAGCATGCTCAACACTGTTGAACTGTATATGTCAAGTGATTATGATGGTAAGCTTGATGTGTGCATTTCATGACCATTTTAAAAAGGTGTCCTTTGTAAAGGTGTAAATGCCTCTGAGTGTTCCTTAGCTTTGTACTCAAGTGACTGAGGTTTCCTAGTTGAAACGTTCTCCCTTATCTTGGCGGTCGTTTAAATCTTGGGTATTCTTTAATCTTTGTTCAGCCTTTTTCCTTCGTTAACTTTTACTTAAGCTGTTCTTATTGTTTGTCTTGATTAAATTAGGTGGTGATTACCTTTATTATTTGTGTGTGCATGCACGTGGGCTAGACTGGCTGGCCAAAAAGGCTCAAGGGTCTGCCTGCCTCTGCCTCCCTCCCTGTACCTCCCTTTTGACATGGGTTCTGGGAATCAAGTGCAGGGACTGGCAAGTGAGTGAGTGTTTCTTCCTTTGTAGATTATGAAGTGGGATCTTTCCACTCTGATAAATTGGGCTAAGGAGGTTTTAAGAAAGGAACAAAGGTGAGCAAGAAATCTGATGGAACTTAGAAGCCGAAGAGCCCCGGGCAGAGAGCTTTATGTTTCAGAACAAGAAGAGACAGCATTCAAAGGGGTTGAACTTCTCCTCTGTTTGTGGTGCTTCTGTAGCTGTTATCTGTGCTGGAGGCTTTTGATGGCTTCATTTATGATGCGTTTTAGGATATCCGAAGTCCTCTTCCCTCCCATTCTCCCCCCCCTCCCTTCCTCCCCCCCTCCCTCCCCCCTCCCTCCCTCCCCCCTCTCTCCCCCCTCCCTCCCTCCCCCTCCCCCCCTCCCTCCCCCCTCCCTCCCTCCCTCCCTCCCCCCCTCCCTTCTGTGGTTCTCCTTCCTTGGGATCATCAGTGCACTGGTCCACGAGGGTGGAAGAAGCAGAAGTGAGGAACAGGGTTTGGATGGCTGTGGGTGTGCTGGAGACAGCCCTCTGGGAGATGACTTCAGTGAATCAGCTCAGCTTTATTCCAGAGTATAGGAAATATATAGGATTGTGGAGCCTGGGGACAAGCTCTCATTTGCATTAAGTGGTACGCTCCTGTCATAACGCTTCCTATGTGGCAGCAGGGCCCTATAGCAAAGTTCCTAGTAGAGGGCTTAGTTACCTTGTGCGCAGCAGGGGAGGAGTCTAGCAGGAACTGTGCCACAGTCATGCTAGAGATAAACCAGGCATCCAGGCTTAGAGATGGCTTTCAGATAAGGTCAGTCCTCTGGGCCTAGAGACATTCTTTAGATAAGAGCAGGTAGACAGCAGGAAGTCTGGATGTGGGGGGTGGGGGCTGGGGGCTGGAGAGGGAGTCCTCTTGTTGTTGAGCTTTGGAGAGAGCAGCCAGGCCATGATAGACTGCAACCTCTGGCTAGCAGGGCCTTCCAACTCCTTCCTTCCTTCCTTCCTTCCTTCCTTCCTTCCTTCCTTCCTTCCTTCTTGCTCTACTTATTTGCAATTCTGGGGCTCCAACCGAGGGACCCAGGGAGTTACACATGCTGGCAATGTTCCACAGTGATGGACATTCTTAATTGTGTGTGTGTGTGTGTGTTTGTGTGTGTGTAACCAGTTGTGCAGAAGAGTGTAGAGGTCAGAGGTTGACTTCAGAAAGACTTTTTCTTTCATTTCTCTATACCACCATCCTCATCCTCATGGTCACCAAGACAGAGTCTCTTACTGAACCTGGAGCTCATCATTTCAGCTGCACCAGCTGCCCTGCAGGCCCCTGGGATCCACCTGTCTCTGTCCCCTCAGTGCTGGGGTTACAAGTGTGCACACGTATGCCTGGCTTTTGTGTGGGTTAGGGGACCTGCACTGAGGTCCTCGTGTGTGTAGCAAGCTCTTTCTGCACGGAGCCATATCCTCATCTCTCAAATTAAGTTCTTAGGAGATACTTCTCTGGGTCTTTTCAGGATGGACGAATGGGGCGGGTGTTTACTGACTGAAAGAGCCCTTGCTGCCTCCAATGCTTTGCGTGGCGGTCAGTGTAGAAATGAACACACAGGCAATCTGCAGGATTTCCTTCTCTTCCTTAGTCTCCCTGAAATGCATTTCCACACTTTTCGCCCAGTTTTGTGGCTTTTCTCTAACTATGGAATCTCTTCAGGAGACTGATCTAGAGTCTGTGATCTGCAAACTGTCTAGTGTATTTAGAGGATTAAAGGCTTTTTTTAAATAAAAAAAATTGTATTTACTTAGAAGCATTCAGAATGTCACCAAAACAGCTGCAATTTTTTTTTTTTTTTTGCAATTTCAGAGTGGCATTCAGTCAACAGAACAACAATTATCTTCGTATAAGCTGCATCAGAGACAACTGAAGATGAAAAAAATAAAACAAAAAAATAAAAACAAAAACAAAAAAACCCCCTACCATCCCCATATGTAACTAATTTGTGCTGTGCACCAACAAGAACCTGCTTTAAATTTCCATGCCAATTTACAACCCCCAGACTGTACCAGCCAAGGTTAGTGGCTACTGAGAATACCACCAGGACAGGGCTATCTAAAGACACATTAACTATACAAAAAGAGACACTGTACAGTTTAAAAACAAATCTTACATAGCCTCACATTTCAATTTTTTTCTTTAAAAGGAGTGAGTTGTGTACAGGGGGGTTAAATGCTTTATAGACAAGAAAAAAAACTGCGCTAGAACCAACTTATTCATCATCATCATCATCATCTTCATCTTCGTCTGCCAAGCTGAAGGAGAAGTAGGAGAAGGATATTGCTGCCTACAGAACTAAAGGAAAACCCGATGCAGCGAAGAAGGGGGTCGACAAGGCTGAAAAGAGCAAGAAAAAGAAGGAAGAGGAAGATGAGGAGGAGGATGAAGAGGATGAGGAAGAGGAGGATTAAAGGCTTTGAACCACACATTTAAATACAACTCGGTTCTGGGCAGAGGCGTTAGGATTTGTTAGTAAACATTGCTCCCCATTGTGTCCAGACACCCTCATGTGTGACACTCACTGTTTTTGCAATGAGGACCCGCCAAAGACACCACATTAGTTCTTGGCATTTTCTTCAACTGTAATTGGAAGCATCAAGAATGTAGTGAGTTTTCAGTGGACTAGAACATTCAGAAGTGACAGTCTGGGTGTCTGGCAGCTAGCCAGGGGTTGTCTGATCCCTGAGAGCTCAAAAGAAATGACCAAATTGCAAATGCCAGGGCTTTCAGCCCAGTGCTCTGCCTAAGCTGTGTGCTGTTTTGACCAGTGAAGAGTTGTATAAATGACACTTCTTATAGGGTCAGAATGACTTGCAAATAGTAACCATCTTTTTTATAAATTTTTGGCAAATAGATACTGGGCATTTTTATTTTTATTTATTTTTTCATTTCAGATGTATATGTTGCATGCTTTTGGGTCTACAAGAATCCCACCTTTGGATGAGCATGGCTTATTGCTCATATTGAATCTTTGCATAACTGAGAATGGAACTCAACTTTATTTTTTTTTTTTTTTTTTTTTTTTTTTTTGGTTTTTCGAGACAGGGTTTCTCTGTGTAGCTTTGCGCCTTTCCTGGAACTCGCTTTGGAGACCAGGCTGGCCTCGAACTCACAGAGATCCGCCTGGCTCTGCCTCCCGAGTGCTGGGATTAAAGGCGTGCGCCACTACCGCCCGGCTGGAACTCAACTTTATATAGCCTGCCTGTCCTAGAGAATATTCTAGTGTGGGTTTTCCATACAAGGCACATGACCAAGGTAGGTAAGGGGAGTACCTAGTTCAGAGTATTTATTGACTGTTGCTAGAGCTTTTGGTGTCAGATGATACAGGGGAAAAAGTGCAAATGGGACAGGAGCAGATGAGCCAGGTCATGGTCCATTCCTGCGCAGTCATTGTTTAGAATAGTGGTGTCTCCAGGTTCAACTACTTGAAAGAAAAAAAAAATGTTTTGTCACAGTGTATGGGCTTAGAAGTCACTCAGCGGACCTAGCAGTGTCCATCAGTTGATTTCAGTCCAGTGCTACTGCGGGGCGCCAGAGAAGTTACAAACGACCAATAAATGGAGAGCAGACTGGGGCCAGTGAGAGGGCTCAGCAGTTAAGAGCACTGGCTGCTCCTCCAGAGCACCCAGGTTTAATTTCTGGTATCTACATGATGACTCACTTTATCTGTAACTCTAGTTCCAGGGGATCTGGTGCCCTCTTCTGGCCTCTGTGGGAAGTGCATGCCTGTGGTGTACAGATGTACATGTAGACAAAACATGATATATATAAAATTAAAAAAAGTAAGAGAGAGCACTCATTATACCTCTTGACTGTTTCTCCTCCTTCACTCCTTTGCTTTCTTACATTCTTTATTCTTTCTCTCTACTTGAGTCTTCTTTAATTTTTCTTCGTTTAGCTATTTATTTGTGATTTTATCCTCCAAAAAATGGATTGTTACTTTACAGCTAATATCTGCTTATGAGTGAGTGCATACCATGTCTTCTAGGTCTGGGTTACCTAACTCAGGATGATTATTTTCAAGTTCCATCCATTTGCCTGCAAATTTCCTGATGTCAATGTTTTTAACAGCTGAGTAATATTCCATTGTGTATATATGGATGCTTAGGTTGAGGGGCATCTAGGTTGTTTCCAGTTTCTGGCTCTTATGAATAAAGCTGCTATGGGCATAGTAGAGCAAGTGTCCTTGTGGTAGTATGGAGTGCCCTTTGGGTATGTGCACAGGAGTGGTATAGCTAGGTCTGGAGGTAGATTGATTCCCAATTTTCTGAGGAACCACCATATTGATATCCAAAGTGACTGTACAAGTTTGCACTCCCACCAGTGATGGAGGAGTGTTCCCCTTGCTCCACATCCTTTCCAGCATGGGCTGTCACTTGTGTTATTGATCTTAGCCACTCTGACAGGTGTAAGATGGACTCTCAAAGTAGTTTTGGTTTGCATTTCCCTGATGGCTAAGGATGTTGAACGTTGCTTTAAGTGTTTCTTGGCCTTTTGTGTTTCCTCTGTTGAGGATTCTTTGTTTACATCTGTACTTCATTTTAAAATTGGATTATTGGGTTTGTTGATGTCTAGTTTCTTGAATGCTTTATATATTTTGGATATTAGCCTTCGGTCAGATGTGGGGTTGGTGAAAATCCTTTCCCATTCTTGAGGTTGCCATTTTGTCCTGATGAGGGTGTCCTTTCCCTTACAGCAGCTTCTCAGTGTCACGAGGCCCCATGTATTAACCGTTGATCTCAGTGTCTGTGCTGTTGGTCTTCGGTTCAGGCAGTTGTCTCCTGTGCCGATGCGTTCAAGGCTATCCCCCACTTTCTCTTCCACAGACCCATGAGGCTAAGTAACAGGGAGGGCTTAAGGGGGAACGCAAGGATCTCCCTGGGAAGGGGAGCTAGAATAGATTCTTTGGTGGACTGTGTGGGTCTCTTTACTCTTTGGGGATTGTTGGCTACTGGTCTGCCAGGGAGGAGGGAGCAGAGCGCAGAGGGCCATGAGCACAGAGGGCCATGAGCGCAGAGGGCCATTAGCGCAGAGGGCCATGAGCACAGAGGGCCATGAGTGCAGAGGGCCTTGAGCACAGAGGGCCATGAGCACAGAGGGCCATGAGCACAGAGGGCCTTGAGCGCAGAGGGCTGTGTGTGCAGAGGGCCATGAGTGCAGAGGGCCGTGTGTGCAGAGGGCTGTGTGTGCAGAGGGCCTTGAGTGCAGAGGGCCTTGAGTGCAGAGGGCCATGAGCGCAGAGAGCCATGAGCGCAGAGGGCTGTGTGTGCAGAGGGCCGTGAGCACAGAGGGCCGTGAGTGCAGAGGGCTGTGTGTGCAGAGGGTCATGAGTGCAGAGGGCCATGAGTGCAGAGGGAAGTGAGTGCAGAGGGCCGTGAGTGCAGAGGACTGTGGGTGCTGTGGAAGTTCCCTTTGGGGAGTCAGCTTCAGTGATACAGCTCAACTTTATTTCAGGGTGAGGGGATATAGGATATAGGATATATATAGGATGGGGACAGCAGCTGGGTTATCACCTGATTTGCATTTGGCAGCACAGTCCTATCATACAGGGGAGCACAACACCTAGTTATCATGTGGATGTTGGCGGGGGGAGGGGGGCAGGAGCATGAACATTTGTAGGGACCTGTGTCAAAAAATAAATCAGGCACCCAAGCTCGGGGATAGCTTCCAAATAAAGTCAGGCACTCAGGCCTAGAGACACTATCCAAATAGGGAAGGGAGAGGGAGTCCTGCTGCAAAGGGAGTCCTCCATATTACACCGAGCTCAGAGAGCTATTGGGATATGGTGAACTGCGATCTTCAGCAGCAGGGTCTTCCAACAGGATGGGTTGGGACCAGAAGGGATCAAATGGGATGGGGAGTAAATGCAGGGAGAAATGACTGGAATTTGGGGGTCATTTTGGGAGCTAGTTGGAAACCTAGTGCAAGGGAACCTCCATGGAATCCACAAGAGTAACCCTAGAAAGACTCCTAGTAATGGGGGACACAGAGCCAGAACAGGCCATCTTCTGTAACCAGGCAAGTGGAGGGACTGGGACTCCAACCCGGCCACAAAACCTACACTTTGTCCTGCTTGCAGAGTGTTCTGGGACCGGAGCCTAGCAGGTCCTCATCAAAGAGACCAGAGAGACTTCATGTAGCAACTAATGGGAGCAGATGCAGAGTCCCACAGCCAACCATTGGGTGGAACTCAGGGAGTCCTGTGGAGGAGGGCGAGGAAAGACCAGAGGAACCAGAGGGGACAGGGACACCGTGAGAACACTGGCCGCAGAATCAATTGACCAGGACTCATGGGGTCTCGCAGAAATCAGGGCACCTGTAGGGGGTCTGACCTAGGTCCTCTGCATAGATGTCATGGCTGAGTAGCTTGGTGTTCTTGTGGGATTCCTAAGTGGGGGCAGGGGCAGTTGCTGACTCTTTGTCTACCTGTGGAACCCTTTTCCCCCACCTGGGTTGCTTCACCCAGCTTTGATGGAGCTCATGCCATCAGGCTGGGTGGCAAGCACCCTTACCTACTGAGCATCTCAATGCCTCTTTTGAGACAAAGTCTCATAGGCTAGCTCAGGTTGGCCTGGGACTTATCATGTAGCCCAGGCTGGTCTCAAAATTGATGTGCCCAACCAGACCTCTTCTTATGTAGTTACTTGTCCTTGTAAATCTTTCTCTTACCTTTGCTGTATCTCTAAGGTTTTCAAGTATTGTGTTTCCATTTAGGTTGGTCCTAAGAAATGTTTAATTTCCCTTCTTAAATTTGCTGCCATTCCATTGGTTGTTTAGGAACATATTATTTCATTTTCACATATTTGTAATTTTTCTTTTTTTGAGACAGGGTTTCTCGGTGTAGCTTTGGTTGTCCTGGAACTAACTCACTTTGTGGACCAGGCTGGCCTCAAACTCAAAGATCCCTCTGCCTCTGTCTCACAAGTGCTGGGATTAAATTCACACACCACTACCGCCAGGCTACATATTTGTAAAATTTCTAAAGTTCCTCCTGTTATTGATTTTTAGTTTTTTTTAAAAAGATTTATTTATTTATTACGTACACAGTGTTCTGTTAGTATGTATGTCTGCACACCAGAAGAGAGCACAAGATCTCATTACAGATGGTTGTGAGCCACCATGTGGTTGCTGGGAATTGAACTCAGGATCTCAGGGAGAGTAGTCAGTGTTCTTAACCTCTGAGCCATCTCTCCAGTCCTGATTTTTAGTTTTACACACCATTGTGATTACCAAAGTGCTTGATAGTTTCAGTCTTCCTGCATTATCCCGTGACCCAAAAGCAGTTGGTATCCACCTCTCTGTGCTCCTGTGATGGTTAATAGTCAACTTGCTAGGGGCTGTAATCTCCAGGGACCAGCCCCTGGCCATGCCTGAGATGGATTATCTTGACTATGTTGACGGCAGTGGGGAGACTCACCCTAACTAGGTAGCACCATTCTTTGGGCTGGAGTCCTGGATTGAGTGAAGTGGAGAAGTCTAGCTGAGTATCAGCATCCGTTGCTCTCTGCCCTGGACTGTAGATTTGATGTGAGTAGACACCTTAAGCTCTTGCCACAGTGGCTTCCTCACCATAATGGACTAAACCCTCAAATGTGAACCACAATAAGTGCTTCTGTTCTTCAGCTGTTTTTTTCAGTGTTTTTTTGTTTTTTTAATCACAGTGACAGGAAAAGTATCGAATGTGGCTGTGTTGGCTGGGTTTGGGCAAAGATGACTCAGGTTCCATCAAACTGTCTCCTTTACTCATTTACTCATCTTTCTCAATTAGTAACACAATAAGGTGGTTCTCACATAGCATCTTTCACATTTGTGTGGATAGGTCTTCACATTGACAGGGGCTGGACAGACGACTCAGCAGTTAGGAGCACTGGCTGTTCTTTCAGAGGACCTGGGTTCAATTCCTCGCACTCACCTAGCAGCTCACAACTATCTGTAACTCCAGTTCCAGGGGACCTGATGCCCTCTTCCGCATGGTACCCAGATA